ATTTTTTTATTCCTTTGAAACTTATGATTTGATTGGCTAATTATCATGTGAAAATACATTAATATTTGTGTAACATTGAACGTTTCCCTCTGTTATACATATGTATCTAACTAGAATAATACCCGGGTCTTATTCAATTTTCTGGATCACGAACCCATGAATAGTACCCGGGTCTTTTTTTTCATGGGGGTATTATGGCAGGGGGTACTTCAGTGGCGTACGGTACTAATTCTGTAATTTGATCTACAACCATATGATTGTTTTTGTTATACTAATTATATCATTTTTTATTTTTACACGTGTTGATTTAGTATTATTGTTTCAATAACAATGTTTTTTTAATTAAGCAATAAAAAATTTTTATTTTTTTTTTTTTTACCTACGAAAAATACATTAGAGAAACAAAACTTGACTGAATACTCAACATATATGAATGATTAGTATTAGTTTTTTTTTTATATATTTTCACACATCGTACCCTTTACTTGAACCTTTGACGCTTCGTATTTTTTCACACTTCGTATTCATACCTCGTATTCACTTCGCACTTACACCTCGTATTCACTTCGCAATCATAGAAGATAACGCGGATGTACAGGTAATATGTTGTACTGAATAGTGCTGAATTGTATGTATTCGTTTTGCGACTTTAGCTATAGGTTGAAGAAATTTGAAAGCCCATCGGGGCCGCAACTTGTGAAGCTGCTGTTAGGATTCTAAAGTGGGCGCCTGTTGCGAACGTTCGTTTCTTCTTCCTATAGTTTAGAGATAACTTTGGTTTATTATTTTGGTCAGTGCTCGCGGGACTGACTGGTTAAGGTAATTACTCCTTAATATGGTCGGGTGAGCAAGTCCAAGTAATAACCACTGGTGGTGAAACGCGATACATAAAATTGAGTAACTGGAAGCTCTTCGCGGCCGCAATTATTGTGAACGTCCTTGCTTAATTTTTCGATGACGTAATTATTCATTTTTTATTTATTTTATTTTGTAGGCTATTTTACGAACTAGACTGGAAAAATCATCACTGAACTATATAATTTTCGCGACAACAAAATTTTTTTTTCAAACCAATAGTGTACAAAAAGATAAATAGAGTTGTGTAAATATAGAAATAATAGAAACTTGTACGTTGTAAATAGAATTTGTCTTGTATATCGAATTTTTAATAAATATTCGTAAAAAGGTGTTCCAATTATCGTATATAATTTATTTCAAATTATTATTTTAAAGATATTCGAAAGTTATAAACCAAAATTTGTAAAAAAAAAAAAGAGAAAAGATAAGAGCTTACGGGTATTAAATATGATATTAGACAAATAAACTTGGCATGATTGATAAATTAAGCAAAAATACTATGCATTAGCATCCGAAATTGTAAATCAAAAAAAAAACCAAGATTGTTTCGTTTATTTACGTTTATTTACTCATGCAACTGTCGCAATGAGCTAGAATTTACACGTAATACAGATCATTGTAACTAGAGATGCTGGTAAAATTAATTTTACCAATTCAACATCAATCTCACCAGCATCTTTAGTTGTAACTGAACATAAACTTTTTTTGCAATGAATACGAAAAAAATTGTATTATACGTATAGCGACTAATAACTGCTGTGCAAAATAATAGGCATGCCCGACTTAAGCTTAATCTAAAATTCGAAATTACACCCATGTGTGCTATTTCGAAAAAAACACTATTAAATTTACAAAAAATATAACGATAACTTTAGATGAGCGATCAAATTTAAGACTATGCATGCCGTTAATTTTATTGGTAGAACAAATCATTAGTTGTATTTAGAGTTTTATTTTTCATATGTAACAACCGATTAAAACCGGTTTTAACATATGAAAAATAAAACCGGTTCCAAACTCTAGTTGTATTGTGTTATTTTGTAATCACCCCCGGATGGCAATAGGATTCTACTCTATATTTCAGAGTATCACCATCGTTTCCATCATTTAAATGTGCAAATCAGAACCTTTCCCGAAATTTGGTCCATTGCAATAAATCACATAGCTACTATTATTAACGTATGATTAACGTATAATATAGATCCTATGAGGTTATCAAGATTTAATACAAATAAGAAGTTATCTGTTGTTTGTTTCCATACATCATCTCCATTCCAATCAAGTGGATTGTAACCATCAATAAGCTAACTTTAATTTTTAATTTTCGCTATGACAATTGTCGCCCCTTTGTTATCACATCTTTGATGAAATTTATGAGATGAAAAACCACCATCTAAACTATTTCGAAAACGAAGATTAAAAATAGTATTGAAATCCCTTTGATTTTTGTCATCTATAGTTTTTTTATCTAATTATTTCGTCAATATTAATGTAATCTCTTATTACAGGTAATTAATACTAAGTCGACTTTAAAGTCCCATCTGATTGAAAATGTGTGGTATAATGATTTAGAATCTGGATCCAAATAATAATGTAATATATCCTTAACTACATAACTACTTTGTCAGGAAGAAGTTTTTTATTTCTTGGATGTACAAAAAGAAGGGTCTATAATAATTCTTGCTTAGTCAAGCCTTGGAGATCATAATTGTAGAATAGTAATAATTATAATCGCAAACCTAGCATATGAAATAAACTTAATACTGTATCATGAATTGTTAACTCGATAATATAAAAGACAAACTCTAAATGTCAATAAATTGTTGGAGGTAAATCGAGATATTTGTTGCTCAAGTGGAAACTTTTTTCATAAGTACGAGCGTTGTAAAAAGCAGATAAAGAGCAAATGCACCATAGCATAGGTAAGATCAAAAGTGTAATCAAGAACAAAAAGATTATTTGTATAAAAAGCTTTCAAATTTGGACACCTTTGTTCACTTCTATAGATACCTTTTCGCCAAGAGTGTGTACACATCTTAAAAGATCACAAGTATGATTATGTGCGTAGCATAAAATTGAAACTTTTTAGATAAATGTTAGATTAATTAATATATATGTCGTATGTCGAAATAGGATAAACGTAGGTTATAATTAGAGATGTATCTTGCTCGAGATACATCTCTGGTTATAATAGAATTCTGAGTTGAAAAGAATTCAAATTCAACTTACAATAAAATTAGCACAGTATATTATTTTGAAATTTAAATCATTCTAAATTAAGGTTTTTTAATAATACAATACAATGCATCGCAAATTAAAAAAAGTATTCGTAAAGCTTTTATATTTATGATTACTAGAATAAAAACTACTACGTACCACAAAGCAAACTTTTTTTTTTTTTTTTATATTTTTAATGATTTTTATCGCAATTACATTTAAGATAATTTACTTGATGCTTCTCGAATGTTTGTGAATATTGAAGGAATACTATTCAATTCAGCAACTTGTTCCCTTAAAAAATTATTTATGCATGGGGTCCACACTAAATTTGTAAACTCAGGTCTAACCTTAAAATTGCTGACTGTAATACGTTCGGTCATGTAATCGACTCAGCTTGGCTCGAAGCTGTAGCTTAAGCCAGCTCACTATAAACTGATCCCATCCCTACACAACATGTCTTTTTATATTAATATATAGAGAAAAAAATTAACCAACTAGTACCACAACTCAATATTTATTAGTTCAACTATTAGAGTATTAAATAATGATACCGGATCTATATTATAAAGCATAGGTTTTAATGTAAAATTGGCCTCTGGGCTCGCTTTATTAAAATGTAAAAATTATTAAAAATACTCTAGAAAAGAAAGTCAATCCCCTATCGCATACTGTGAATAACATCAGTTAGAAGCCTGGTATATCACATCTAATAATACTTATCAATTATTATCTTAATTACCTAGTGCTTTTTGGATAGTGATGCTTCTAATAGATTTTCATTGGATGGAGTGTATTGTTGTACCTTTTTTGAGATTTCTTGTATCTTTAAGTAATAGTCCATAACCCGGCTCTATAATGCCAACATAAAGTTAGACCAATAAATAATTTTGAAAAATCGATTAACCAAACATCTACTTTAAAAAAATAAGCTTTTCTAACTATTTCATCTAGTACATATAACTGACTTTTGCTGTCTGGAATTGTGAAATTGAAGAGGATATCGATAATATGCAAACCTCCTTTAACACGATGCATTGTGTAAATTGTTGCCTTATGCTCTAAAATAGATAATAAAAAAATAATATATATATAAATCTGTAATAAATACAACATGATACGTTACATATGGTACACTAATATACCAAAACTTTGAAGGTATTCAAGCTGTTCTTCCAGAGCATTATGATGTAGATAGTGCTGTCATTGATAAAAGATCGACAACTGCATCGCTACAAAGATAAAAGATTCTATAAACTTTATTGCTTAGATCTCAAAACACAAATCTTTGGTAGCTACAAACCTTTTAATAATTTCTCCTTATCTTCGCGATATTTTTTAAGATCCACAACCATCGTATTCTCTACAATTTCTAAAAATCTAATTTCTATTTCATTTGCATTCACATAAATTTTTAGAATCTCATCATAATTTGAACCAAGCAATATCCAAGATTTTTGGTCATTTGTCTGATTTCGATATACTTTACGCAATGTGCTCTCTATTTCTCCACTAGTAAATATAATACCAAATTATATCAGACATGATTACAATAAATCAAAATGATATATAATACGGGTCTAGTTTCCTTTAGATATATATTTGAAATACAATCTTGTCTTTCATATCATCAAATACCTTGGGAATTATGGGATTAACAAATAATTCTCTGTAGGCTATCTCTAATTTAGTCATATTACGAAATATATTGAAACATGAGGCGAACAAGAACACACTAATATAAATACTAAAATTAATTAATTAATTTCTGTGGTGTATTATATTAAGTAATAAAAACAACCTACAATCGTCGATAAATGTCCTGAATCCATAATAGATCATAATGTGTTTTAAAGTCAAACTTGCTCTCGAACGGCTTCTCAAAAATAACTTCTGTTGATAGTGTCTGAATTTCATCATCAAAAACAGACTTAATCTCAATAGCAGATGCATACCTGTCAACTAGTGGCTTAATGTTCTTTTCCCACTTTAATTTTTGCATTGTATTCAACTTTTCTTCATTTGACGGTTTTATCTAAAAGAAGTTGTAAGGTTTATTAATAACTAGAACTTGAAGCCAATAGCTTATAATGCATATATCTTCTCAGAATTTCCTTATTCTTTTTTTATTGTTATCTGAAAAGATATTATTTACTGAGTTTACTAGGTTTTTTTTGGAGAGGTTAACAATTCTGTATTCAAAAAGACAATATTTCACATTTTCTATTTTTGAGATAAGGTGTTGAACCTCGATTGATAGATTTTCATTCACAAATAAATTATCAAAACAGTCACTGTTATTCTCAAAACTGCCAGATTAAACTTGTAAAGAATTATATGGAGGAGAAGAAGGAAAAGCGTGAATTCCGAAAAAGCCAATAGGAGCATTGTTGTCTAGTTGTGAAGGTGGTGGTAGAGGTGTAACAACATTTGAAAAGGAATGAGAAAAAGAAAGGTAGCCATTTGTTTTTTATTTTTTAAGAATCTAGCTTAATATTTATAGCTATAATTACAATAATAGTTTATATACAATTCTTAAATTTTTAATATAACTAGTATATATTTGGATCATACTAGTTAAAAGATTATAATATAAATATTATTTTGTTTAATTTATAAAAAATTTAAATAATATTCTAATTTTATATAACTAGCAGAGAATGCAAAAATAGCTTAGAAGTATTATTAATTTTTAAACTTACTGCTATATTTATTTTCATATCAAATAAAGAAATTTAATCAAGTATAGATAAATAGTAAAATAACTATAATTCTTATAGAATAGTAAAATATTTTATTATTTAATTAGTGAAATATATAAATAGATTAACAAGAAAATAAGCTAGCAAAACTAGCTATAATTTATTTGTTCTGATGTATATATAAATACTTATCATAATTCTTGTTTTAAATTGATAATAATATATACAAAGCTTAAATTTTTTTTTTAATTATATCTGAATAGATATATATAATTTTAAGAAGTAAATAAACAAATATTAATGAAATATTAATATATAAAAATTAAAAACAGATATAATATTGGATATACAAACTTATTAGCTTATATATTTTTTGATATTAATATTTCTAGAAATGAAATTGTTAATCTAATTAAATTGGTGACTTAAAAATCTAATTATTGTTTGAAAATGACTAATTAAAAATAAAAATCTTAAGAATAAAAACTCTTTTGATTTTATTTTTAGTGTGAATACAAATATACATGTTACTAAAATAGGTTTTTAAAAAAACTTTATTTCATTTCTATTAGAGCAAATTAGAATTTTTTATATGCAAAAGCAAATCTAGTTTAGATAGTTATGTTTTTTATAGTTTTATCTCTTTAAAAAAAGTATCAAAAAATTTTGTTTTTTAAGTAAAATAAATCAAAACAATTTTGTCTTTAAATTTTAATTTTAGGGTTTAAATTCCAAAATAATTTTATTAACATATTTAAATATAAACTATAAAAGTATAATCTATCAATCTTAGATTCTTAAAATTTAAGACTAGAAATACAAAAAATATTACTACAAAAATAACTAACCTATAGTAGTCAAGTATTCATAATAATATTGCTTTTTGATTTTTTGATACTATATCTATTTTGAAATTAAAGCTAAATTGTTTTTGAAGTTTTTCAATACTAACACCAACTTTATTAATTCAAGTATAATTATATATAACTATTTGTATAGCAACTACTCGAATACCTACGTTCAAAAAAAAAGATAAAAAACCTAATTATAAGTGCTATTATTTGAATCGCTACTTTTTAAGTTTAAAAAAAAACTTAAAACTTATTAACTAAGATGCTGATTACTAAATTACTTTGACCTATAAGACAAAAAGTGCACCCCGTCGCTAATTCTTGGAATATTTAACCTTTTCTCGGATTATTTTGATATGTTATAGAACGAAAAGTGTAGTTTCAGAATTTATATACCACATACTTTACCAATTCGTTCAATCAGTCTAAAGCCCGCTATGCTTGCGTCACCACCAAAAAAATTTCACTATCACGTGGCAGTTGTAGCGCATCTTCGCACTATGATTCGTTGATCCGATTTGAACGTACGGTTATTGTAGTAAAAATTTTTTAAAGTTTTTTATAAAAGTAATTTACTATATTTTTATACAAACTTTATAATAAATTTGTTAAAAAAAGTTTATTATAGAATGGAAATTCAAAATTCTGACCATTTATTGCTTTTTTAGACACCGATACGGTCATACTTTGCTCATTAAATAGTCTAGGCTTAAAATTTTAACATAATGGATTATTAAGAAAACATAAGAGCAATTTTGAATAAATTTCTTGAATGATCTGATTATTCTAATATAACAGTTGCACCAAGTCCTTCTAAAGTCTTTTTGATCTTTTCGGCTTCTTCTTTGGTAACATTTTCTTTAATAGTCTTAGGTACACTTTCAACAAATTTTTTTGCCTATAAAAAAAATAATGATACATAAAATTAATAATGTATCAAACACTAATAATGTATAAAAAAAAATTAATAATGTGAAAATTGGTATATCAGTATACCTCAACGAGGTTTGTACCCGGTAAAATATTCTTCATTTCACGAATTATCTTTGTCTTTGCATCAGCATTATATTTTTCCAGTTTTACAGTAAATGAAGTTTTTTCAGGTGCTTTTGCCTCCTATATGAGATTACAAATAAATTAATATATCTAAGATCAATTGAATATAGATTGTTCTAAGCATTATTGAAACATACTTCGACTGGAGCGGTGGCTTCGCCTGCTGGAACCGCGATATTGGCAACGTTGCTAATTGTGGGTAAAACCACGTCTTGAATATTCAAGCGAGTCTTCGTTATGATACAAAAATATCAAATAAAACATTTTTAACGTACTGTATTAATCTTTGATTTATAACAAAGCTAAAAGAAAATTACTTTTAACGATTGCACAAGTTCAGCGGTTTCAATTAAAGTCAACGAAGAAATTTGGTCGACAATACTTGTAATTCGAGCATTGGTCACTTCTTTATTTGGCGACGGAAGTGTAGTTGTTGAGCGGAGTCCCTTGCGAAAGACTAAACCCCTGACGAAACTTCTGCGAAGGACGAGACTCCCTGGTGAGAAAACGAACATTAATAAATTATGAGAAAGGTAAAAGCTATATATATATATATATATGCAGTTAGTAGGCAAACTCGATAAATTAAAGTGAAATCTTAAATTTCATCGTGGCTGTTAGCGTGGTTTAATAAAAACAATGGCTTTTTTTTTTTATTTATACTAGTATATGACCATTAACAGGTTTTTAATAGTCTCCCAAATTAAAACGGGGCAGATCAATCGACAGTCGTTGAATGATTATCGTTATCATTGATTAAAATTTTTTTAAATAATCACGTGCTTGTACCTTTAACCAATAAAATTAACCAATAAAATTAAGGAAGGTTCAATTGACGACATTCTGTTTTAGCATTGCTTCTTTGTCCATTGGGATATAATCTAATTCCAAGTATTTAGTCAATAACAAAAAGCGAAGGTACGTAGTGTAGTATTCATGAGATAAAAAGGAAATTTGATCAATTAGTGCTCTTACAGTATTTGACGTTGGATTTTGAATACTTTGGTGGTGCTGGTTGTAGTAACTTTTAATTACGACAAAATCATATAAAAGGTTACGATAAATCTGTTTTTAATATATATAAAGTGCAATTGATTCGTAATTATGATAATGACATAATTACGCCAGCACCACTAATCTTGCTAGAAAAGGCTTGCGTAAATAAATTAATTGTTTAATTCAATATAAAGTGCATAATACAAGGAATCGTTTCATTATTTTAATTATCCGTTAAATTAGTTTCGTCATCTTTTTATCTGTTTTATCTTCGTCCATTCTTATAAAAATATTAGGCTTGTTATCAGAAAACAGAATCGCGACTGTAATATTAAAGCAAAGATGAAGAGAAAATCAAGAAACACCAGTATATACCACTAATGCCCTGAATTTTAAAACAAAGTTCGAAATCTAATCTGAGTTTCACACCCATTAATTGTACAACCCTTTTCAAGGATACAATGCATATATTCTCACGTTATATGTAATAGTTCTAATACAAACCATCTATCTACTTCTTTATTGACCTTGAGTTAAAAATGTCAGTAAACTCAACCAAGGTTTTTGAAGATAATTCTTTTTTGCCAGTTGTTTATGAAGCCAACTTTACCGTTGCCTTAGGTAATTGTTACATCACCAGAGACAACTGAATTGTAATGACATTGCAATATTTTTTTTTTTTATAATAGAAATTTTTGAAGAGTTTGAAGCTTGGCTACAGGAATACCTTAGCACCACTTTAAATACCAAACCTGGTTTTCGTGACGCTGAAGTGTTTCAACGTGACCCACGAAATGACGGTGGAGACCCTGAAGTTAAGAATCCCGATCGAGTTCATAAATATATTACAGTGCTTTTTGAAATAGACAATAAAGAGAGTATTGATCGTTATTTAAACGAAGAGGTAATGCAATATTAATACAAAGGCTAATTATGTTATTCTAGTAAATTATTCGCATATTTTTATGATTTTGTAAAATTTGTAATAGTTATTAATCTAATCATGTTGATTTTTACCTACCTAGTCTACTAAAATCAAAGAAGCGTTGGAAGCCAAATTTAGCGCAAAGGGTTCGTTGGTGATTACTTCACATCGTATTTTATACCCTGTTTCGCTGTGGGCTAAAAGAAAAAGCCTAGAAAAATCGGTTTGAATAATTCGTTTTATCATTTTACGATGTTTATAATGAATATTTTACATATTAAATAGCATAGTTATTTATTTTGCTGTTTTATATGGTGCATGTGTTAAATGAACGCATATATATATATATTCGGTTTTTAATTGGTCTTTTTTTTTTTTTTAAAGAGATATATACAGTATTTATCTAACAAAAGTATTTGAATTTTAAGCATTTTATCAAACCTAAAGTAAACTAAATCATGTATAATTGAAGCTCAATAATATGGAGTAAAATATTTATTTAAAAAGGATCAGATAACGCGCATAAAATTTTTTTCGCAGTTGTAGTGACGCCTTTTTGGGACCTGCCTGGTGCAATTTGATAATATTTGATGTATTAGTACACAATTCCGCCGCAGAAAAGTCGGACGAACAAATTTTCTCTATGATATTGTTCTACTACAGTTTGATTTATCTGGCTTATATTTAGGTTTTAAATGCTAATATCCAAGTATGTTACCTAAACTTTCGAGTAAGTTACCGACCTTAAAAAGGTTCATTGGCCAGTCAAATTTCAGAATCGCATGTGATTCTAGCCACGATTATTACAACATTGGCGTAGTGTGGGTGTGATTATTTTCTAGAATCTTCAACCTAATTGATAAATTTTTTTTTAGGTTGGGACGCTAGTTTGCCTATCACTATGTTTGCCCTTGTGACCTTAAACATTAATGTTAATACGTAACGAAAAATAATTTTAATTTAATACGTACCAAAGTTTTTTTTTGAGTCAAATTATTAATCATAAAAGATAACGGGAATTTTCGGGATGGCGATAGTTAAACGAACATACCGTATTTGCCCTATATATGCCCACAGGCGTTATTTTGATATGCAGTTTAAAGAAGCTAACGCTAAAATTAATTTCATCCAATATATTTTTTTAAATTATGATTTGCATTCGGTTACCTATGGAGAGTTCTTCGTGCGAATATAGTATATTAGAATGATCGTCTAGATTCTCCGGGAGGTATGGCAACTTATAAGTTACCTGCTTTTATTAGTGTTTAGATATAGCGGTTTTTATCTCTCTCAAATATTTTATTTAAAGGTGACTATATACCTACTACGTACGTACGTACGTATCTGGCATCATTATGACAATATATATTGTGTAATACGTATAAAAAATTACACGATTAATTTAGGATTATTTTATATTAATTAATAATAGCTACGTATAATACGTACGTACGTATTAACTTTCAATTTCTTTTTTTGTACTGTAGCATTTAGCATAATTTAAAAGGGTGTGTTGCGAAAAGAAAACCAGTACATCTAAATACGTATAATGATAGAAGCGGAATACGTATACGTCCGTACGTACGTACAGTAGGCTTTTAAAAATTACTAGTATTAGCGTTAGTATTACAACCAATTATTCTGGGTCTGAGTTATACGAAAATCCACATTTTCTTTTTGCATAAAAAATTCAAAATGTTATTCTCTCAATTTGTATCAATAAAACCTAAATTGTACGTAGCAAAGAAATCAGATAATCTCAATGTATTATACGTAACAGTTTATCTTAATTAAATGTCAAACCCTGTCTTTTTTCATATATTGTATAAATGTTTTCTGTGTGCTCTATCCTAATTTCAAATTTAGTTTGATTACGTACTTTACAAAGTTGTACTACGTATTACAGTTTCTAAACAATATCGATATGTTATGCATAGTAAGATTTCTACGTACGTACGTACATATGATTATTTGTTTTCATTTGAAATCCTCCTATTGATTATACCAAGTCCATTTGGATAATTTGGTGGGGTCCATTAATCTTTCCTTTAATTTATATTGCAAGAACAGCATTTTCGAACCAAGAGGAGCCAGTGAATGCCGCAATGCCAAATGGTTGGTGGTCAGCAGTCAAACCAAAATCGGCCCCCGTCGCCACAAATTGTGAGATCATGTCCAACATTCCCTTCATTGTTTAAAATTTATTCCATCAAATTATAAAGAACTTGATTTTTTTTATGCTTTTACTTAACAGGCAAAGCGTTCTTATTCCTATGATGCAGTGATGCGGTA